CAGGACTCACCGTAGGACGAGGCGGAGAAGACGAAGGGCTGGCGGCAGTTGACGCACACGTTGCCCAGGTTGTTGAGCAGGGGGTTGTTGGTGGAGCAGCGGTAGCACAGGGGGACCAGCTCCTGCCAACGCAGCACTCGGTGGCCCGGGCACGAGAAGAGGGGGCACCCCGCACCTGCCCTGTCCTGGCCTCGGCCCTCCAGGACCCCACGTCAAGAGGTGTGGGCAGTAGAGGGCCCTGGGGCCAGAAGCCACATGCTGGGGATGCAGGTGACACCCTACAGGAGTAACTGGGGCCTGCCACCGGGGACCACGGCCCAGGCCACCTCCCAGGCAGGGCTCAGCAAGGCGCTGTCCTGTTGGGAAGGACAGTAAGGGCAGCCACTCCCTGCCTACGCCACCAGACCCCTGTGCTGGCCCGTCTGTCCCCACCACCACCAGTGGGGAAGGTGTCACTTGTCCCCAGCTGATCGCAGGATGGAGTGTGGAGCCCAGACCACAGCGGCCATCTTCCCACAGGACCCAGGCCCAAAGCCACAGGCGCCTGGAGGGCAGGAGCAGCGCCGCCCGGGGAGGGGCGTGCTCACCTCGCTGTCGTGGAAGGGCTTGGAGCGGATGGTCAGGCTGCCCAGCTCGATGGACTTCTGGAAGCGGGCGGGGCTCTGCAGGCCCTGCAGCCGGTCGTAGGCGTGCCGCGCCAGCTTGTAGGCGCCCAGGGCCTTGCTCTGCTTGGCCAGCGTGAAGAGCGTGTTCCTGCAGGGGCCACGTTAAGGACGGCGGGGGCCGAGCTGGCGCCACCCGGGACGCGGCCAGAACTGCGGGCACTTCCCCCGGCCCAGAGGGCGACCTCTGAGCCACAGCCTCCCCACACTCCTGTCCCCAGGTGGCCCCTCAGCTCCAGCAGCTGGGGGCTGGTGACTCCTCTAAGGCAGGGACTGTGCCGGGGCAAGCTCTGCTGACCTCGAGAACTTTCTGGAAAGGCCAGGTGCAGGGGCTGAGGCCAGCAGGCGCGGCTGTCTCGCCCCCCACTCAGCAGGGCCTCGGTGAGGGGGGCACCCCTGGATTTGGGGACCTTCCCCTGATGGGCCTGGAGTCATGAGAGAGGCCAGCTGTCCCCAGGCCCTCTGCCAGGGGGTTCCTCACAGAAAGGCGGCAGGGATGGGTTGAGGCTAGAGTGGACTGAGGGAGGGACAGGGGACAACTGTGGCTTTCATGATGCTCAGGACTTAAAGTCGTGGTCCTTCCTGGCCACACAGGCCTTGTGGGGCCCTCACTGACCCCAGGAGGAGAAGCCAACCCGCGACAGCGAGGCGCTCCAATCCCAGGGTCCTCCCACAGCCACCTCCCCTGGCGTCCCTGCCTCTCCTCAGTGCGTCCTGGGAATGTCCCCTCTGCTACCTGTCCTGGCCACCTGAGCGTGCAAAGACAGACGTCGCCTCCCCAGCAGCCCCCCCGGCAGCCCAGCCCAGGCTGTGTCCACTTTTGGGCACGACACACACTCTCTGAACCTTGCCGCCTGTCACCTCCCATGATAGCTGGCAGCCTTGTCACCTGGTACCTGGGGCCCTGTAGGCCTGGCTGACAAAGGCCACTCCACGGGCCCCAAGAGAATGTGGAGGGCCTGCTGCCTCCTCCAGTCTGTCACGCCCACTGCAGTTCTGGGGGGGCCAGGGACAGTGTGTTGGCCAGGGACCTGGGCCGGGCTGGGCCCAGAGCTCGGAAAACTAATCCTCTCCTGGCAGCGGCCGCCCCGGCTGAG